ATCACACGCAATAAGCAGACACCCAGGGTATCAAAATTCATACGCAATAAGCAGGGGCCAGCACAGAACCTGTACTCGAAATCACGCTGCGGTAAACAACAGCCACAATGTATCCAAAATCACGTGAGGTAAACAACAGCACAATGTATTCGTCAAAATCCACGTGAGGTAAAATCAACAGCAACAATGTATCAAAATCACACGCAACATAGAGCAGCAACACAAATGTATTCAAATCACGTGATGGTATAACAACCAGCCACCAATGTTATCAAAATCACACGCAATAAAGCAGCAACACAATGTATCCGAAATCACGTGAGGTAAAACAACAGTGGGAGCACAATGTATCAAAATCACACGCAATAAGCAGCAGCACAGTGTATCAAATCACGTGCGGTAAACAACAGCACAATGTATCAAAATCATACGCAATAAGCAGTATAATAATTTAATAATAATTAACATCGATAACCTATAATCTGTATTGATAAGAAATTATAGTACAGTATTATAGACTAAATGTGCAAATCCTAAACTATGGTCATACCTCCGCAGCTCTGCTGGCAGGTGGTCAGGGACTTGAAATTGTTCGCATTGCCTGCACAACCACCGTATTCAAATCTATCACATCCTCTAGTCTCGCTGTTGAAGAACCAACGTGGAAAGTGGGCTTTGCATGGACCGCTATCTGGTTGGAAACTGCAAACATCTGTCGAAAACCAACCAGAAACGCGATGAGCGGTTGATACGGATGAGAAATGTCTTCGTAAAAATTAAACAGAATATTGGAATTTTTTAACAGATGTTATAAGGAAATTAATCTCAATAAGAGTGACGGCGGTATACTAGTATATGCAGTAGTTAATAAATACCTCCAACAGGTGGCGGAACCACTGCGAGGCCACGACCACGTGCATCTGAAATGTAAACGGATATTATTCAAAACTATGGGCATATTTCGTCGGAGAAAGATTACAGACCATAAACACGTTGATTGATTTCGATACTATTACATATTACTACGAGTAAATGTTAATAAGACACTTAATATTACAATCGGAGCTGATCACGGATAATAACTAAAATAATTACCACCTGACTCTTCTAATCACATTAAAAATAATATAAGGCGTCACAGTGAAAGTATAATTATAAAGCAATGCCATATATAAACTAATCCTTGATTTGCAATTTACTATCTGTATGGTATACGGATGAACGAAAGAAACGAATAAGAATTAGATCATGAGCATGGCTCTATAATTGGTAAAACTATCGATAAAAAAGATGTTGATCGAAAATTACACAGAGGTGTTCGTGATTAGCGGTGATTTCGTGACCAGGACCAGGCGTTTACCTTGTAGAGGTCGAGGACAGCAGACTCCTGGTATTCCGGGCTGCTTTGCCGTACAAGTGTAACCTCCTCTACAACGCTGTCTGTCGAAGAAACAGACGAATAGCTCCCTACTGGACTGGAGCAGTGGCTCTCCAAACTGACATTCCTCTACGAGTGGCCTGGCCTCGGTGCCTACCATAGAAATATATATTGAGACACTAGTAGAATAACTAGTCTATTATTTCTATGGTACATATAGAGAAGAAGTGTGAAAATTAGCGGCGATTTGTCAATTAAATCCACAATATAACGTCGTGTAAAAAAATACCGCAGATACCATCTGAATGCTGCAGATATATTGACTGGTGGCGTTCTTACCAGCAGTAGAAGATACTATTAGACACCTTCACAAACGAACACGCCGGTCGATGCGTACATGTCCGCCATTCAGCGTTGCTACACTCGGCACGTGCTTGTCAGCGCACAGGGCTTCGTAGGTGTCCGCATTGTCCGCGCCTCCTGCGACAGGTCAGCATCTGGTGCGTGTCAACTGAAAGCCAGCACCAGGAAACAATCAAATTCGATCAATCCCGAGCCCAATTATATCAGCATATAGTTACGCCACGCCCGCACGGCGTACAGCGCGACGCACGGCGTACGCCGCCCAGCGCACGCATACTTGTGCGTATTTACTCTCACTCATTAGTCTAATGTTTATAACCCGAGACTACGTCTTTACAAAACGAGCCAACTGCCTGCTATTATTTCATGCGCCGACTACCATGAGCCAACACACCGCAGCGCAACCGGCCGCAGCGCGACGGCACGCAGGCGCACGCACGCCACGCACGCACGCGACGCACGCACGCAACGCGACGCATATCCATTTATATTCGAACCTTACCCCACACCTGGCAAGACACTTCTCCCTTACCTGAAGAAGTTATTCCACGATCTGGTACTGCCAGCCCAGCGCAAACGCTGAGGTCTCGCACATGACACTTAGTCTGTTGAGGTTTGAAGCAGAACCACCGCACGCTGGAAATTCGAGCGGCAAAGGAGCCCACCCTCTGGGTGGGCGGAATCATCACAGGTAGGCGGCGCTCTGCGAGCACAGCGCTGGACGACAACTGCAGCCGCACGGTTAATATTCAACTCGTGCAGTGTCTTCCGTCTTAAGTTCTAAACATCAAGCGCAGTTTCAGGGAAGGCTGCGAACACGCGGTAAGATCGGGTGACTGGCCGTGATATATCGCAGCGATATAAGACGCTTGTAACATCTGAAGGCCGTAATATCAACTCGGATTCGTTTGTCAATAGATACCATGGATTGCGCAGTAAAAATCATTCTTTGTAAATGATATGTAGTGATGGTTACTTATTAAGCCAACACAGACTCGAAGGACGAATGCGAAGCAGCAAGCAGCTGAACATAATTCGTCTGGGACAATATGCTTGCATTCATATCGATGGAGAATATATTTTTAGGGCGATGTCCAGAGAAACCATGTGATCGACGCCTGAAAAGCGGCGACTGTCAATCACTCACCTGCGTGCAATCAATTCATACCTCCAATCAGATCGATGGCATATATTTTAGACGTGGAGAAGTGGATCGCGGCTGCACTTGCAAGCGGT